GGCTTGTTGTGTAAGGATGAGATGATATGCATACAGGGTGCTTCACATAATACTAAGTCCTCCTTGAGGATTAGCTGCTACTGATTATTTTATCATTATTGTAAAGATTTCAGCTACCGTTGAGAATTTACAGGTCGTCCTTTCTTTATGGAGTTTTTAATCATGCATGGTGGTTATATCAAAACACACAAACAATGATGGTATTAAAATAGTACTTGCAAAATGTGATCAGTGCTTTCAGGAAGGTAAGGACTTGGCCTGGTACATCACAAATATTTATTAGAGTTTGTTGACTTAAAAAAAGAAAGCCGGAAAAGTCTTTTGACCTCTAAAACCTTGAACTGTTCCCTTGCAGTTCTTTTTTGGCATGGAGAAGTAATTATCTGCAAACTTCTTCCTTCGCCAGAGCAGCTCTTTCACAAAATAAGGCTTACCTAAATTCTATTTTTTTTTTCTTTTTCGAAATGGAGTTTCATTCTTGTTGCTCAGTCTGGAGCACAATGGTGCAACCTCAGCTCACCGCAACCACCACCTCCCAGGTTCAAGCGATTCTCCTGCCTCAGCCTCCCAAGTAGCTGGGATTACAGGTGTGCACCACCACGCGTGGCTAATTTTTTTTTAGTAGAGACGGGGTTTCACCCTGGTGTCCAGGCTGGTCTCGAACTCCTGACCTCGTGAACCACCCATCTCAGCCTTCCAAAGTGCTGGGATTACAGGTGTGAGCCGCCGTGCCCGGCCTAAATTATTAATCCTTATACCAAATATATGAGAAAATCCAGGAGCTGGAGTGGGATTGGGTGTCCTGTGGATCCAGTTGCATATTCACCCTGCTCCATCTGTGGTTCAAATGCTTACCAGGTTACAGCAGAGAAACTGGGCTTATGCATGTTGGTAGTAGGTGTTAGTAATATGAAATCAGGACCCAGTTTTATTTACAACCTTACATATCCATGAATTGGCTATAATTACATGTAAAATCAGCATAGCCAAGGACAAAGTACTGTGATCATTAGCTCTTCTCTTCCTTTTCTTTATCTGTCTGTTCTCTTATCTTCTTCCTTGGCTGTTCACCAGGTTGGTGGAAGAGGGAGGGGATTCCCCAGCACTGGCCACTGACTGTGTGCTGTCCTTTTTTTTGTTTTGAGATGGAATCTCTGTTGCCCAGGCTGGAATGCAGTGGCACAATCTTGGCTCACTGCAACCTCTGCCTCTTGGGTTTCAGTGATTCTCCTGCCTCAGCCTCCTGTGTAGCTGGGACTACAGGTGTGAAAGGCTTGTTGTGTAAGGATGAGATGATATGCATACAGGGTGCTTCACATAATACTAAGTCCTCCTTGAGGATTAGCTGCTAATGATTATTTTATCATTATTGTAAAGATTTCAGCTACCGTTGAGAATTTACAGGTCGTCCTTTCTTTATGGAGTTTTTAATCATGCATGGTGGTTA